AGCTGTGGGCGGCACAGAAACTCGATTGGAGGGGTTCATGAAGGGAGTGGCGGGAGAGGAAGGAGCGAAGCTGGGAAGCAATGACTCATTCCAAGACCTTGGAGAGGAAAGGGAGGTTGGATATAGGGCAGTAGTTTGAGAGCTGGGATGGGTCCAGGGAGGGTTTATTAAAGATAGGAGTGATGATGGCTGTTTTTAAAGGGGTGGAAACGGTACCAGAGGACAGAGAGAGGTTTATAATGTCTGTGAGCAGAGGGGCAAGGAGGTGGAGCTAGGATATAAGGAGAGGGTTAGGGATGGGATTGAGGGAGCAGGATATAATGGTGGTGAGAGAGGAGTGGGAGACAGTTTTGAAGGTGTGAAGGGAGGGATGGGTAGGGGCTGGGGTAAGAGTGCGAGATGGGGAGATGGTAGTGGACAGAAGGGCAGAGCCAGTTGAGTGGATCCTGACAACTTTGGATTTGAGGAAGTCCAGCATCACCTCGCAGTTAGCATTGGACGGGCGAGGCATGAGAGGATAGGCGGAGGAGCCGGTTGGTGATAGAGAAGAGGAGCCTGGGGTTGTCCTTGACCTCCAAGATTGTCTTGGAGTAGAATGACGATTTATTGGAGACAAAGGCAGAGCAGTAAGATTTGATAAGGTCCAGCCAGATCTGCCGATGGACCGTTACGTTCGATTTAAATCCAACCTACCACTTCAACCATGCCCGTGGTCGCATTCCCCTCCCCCTTTTGCTCAGCAAAAACACCCACAGCATTTGTTGAGAAGTAGTTGCAAATTTTACTCGTGTTGAATAATTAACATCAGTGATTAGTGCTCTTGTGGCATCAGAGGGAGATATATTTTCCTACAAAGATCACAAACACGTTGATGTCCATGGGATGAAAATAGACATTTTCTTTTAAGTTTTTATTGACAAAAAGGGCAGATTATGAGATTGAGTCACATGGCTCTGTCACCGCATTTCCTGCCAAACTCCAGTAACTGTGCTGGTTGTGACACAATAAATGTTGTACCCAATGAGCTTCTGATATTATACAGAATTGATAGATGGTCCAACTAATCTGACCTGGTGTTTATCCTCTACATGAGGCTCTACCCCTCCTATACCCCTCTATTTCTTTCTACTTCTCTATCCTGTGCAAAGTTGTTGTATGCATCAAGTTTTCTCCAACATGCACTGATGGTTTCTGATAGCAGATTCCACATTCTCACCACCTTCAGTGTGAAGAAGTTCCTCAGAAACTCCCTTTTAGATCTGCTGGCGGCTATCTCATACTTCTGACAGATCTCGGAGTGATTGGGATCAATAATCTCTGTGGCTGCACCTGCACATTTAGTTCACAGAGTGTGGTATAGCGATTGTATAGTTTTAATAGTGAACTGGCAGTGTTTTACTACAGCTAGTGTGAAGACGATGATGAACTCTCGTGGCAATGTCACCTTTATTGCAATGTATCTGCTATAGCAAGACTGACAATACCGGGTGCTAAATGGAAGGCTTCTAACATAGTTTGAAAAAAACTTGCAATTGCAAGTGCTCGGACACTAACTTCCGTGAAGGACGCTATATAAATGCAAGTTGTTGTTGTTGAATGTTAAATTTGCTGGGCATATAACACAAATCTCATCAGAAGATTCCATTTATTTTTCAAGAGCTTTGGTTTTGCAAAATCAATAAGCACATTTATTATCCCGGAGAACACCATCCTCTTTAGGATCTTATATAAGAAGAGATGTGTGCTACTCCAAGCCCTGAGTGTATGTCCCAGGCTGCCATTCCTGCACTAGAGATTCTGCATGCATTTTCTGGAGAGATTGTCAGTCGCTGGCCTGTGGATCTGAGGAGTTTTATCAGCAAAAAAACTGCACAATTTATGCTTATCAAACCATATGCCACCTTCATCTCTTATCCACTTTGAAATATTTCAGATACCAACAGGAGACATACCCAGCATAAGCCAGGCTTTCCATGCCAAATGGATCAGTCAGCAGAGAGCAATTTGTGAAATCGGCTTCCCACCACCAGGACAACCAAGAGATGTAGGATTTTAATGACTTGCCTCGATGTCCTGGGAATGACAGACTGTAGAAAAGACTCCTGAATACCTATGGAGACTGAAGACATTAACCTAGAGCAGGCAAAGCTTTCATTCAGTGAATATTCAATCTGCTGGTACTGTGAGCACTGTGCCCTCTGGGTTTTGTGTCTCTGCATTAGAAGGTTCTGAATCATCGAGCAAAGCAGTGAAACCCTGGCTTCATTTACAATACATATTTATACAGTGCCTTTCACATCGGGAGGACATTTCAAAGCACTTGACGCTGGCTGGACACCCGAGCTGGGGGTGGGAGCTCAGTGGGGTGCAGAGGGGAAAGAAAAACAAAAGCAAGGTCAAACAGGTACATTGTGCCTTGAACTGAGGGGAGGAAGGATGTGCATTGGAGAGAAGGGACAGAGATGGAATTCCAGAGAGGAGCAGAGTGGCTTAAAGCCCGTGTCAGTGATGGGGCGGGATTGGGTTGGGTGGGGGATATGAAGCAGGTAGCATTTGCTGTAGGTATGGAGGGGCTGGGTTGGTAGGGTTGAAGCAAGTGCAGAGTTAGATGAGGGTGAGACTATGGAGGATTTGAAGGTGAGAAAGAAGAGGGATGGAGAGCCAGTGGAACTGAGAGAGGACGGGAGGTAAGAGGCTCCTCAGGACTTCAATTTACTTTCCTCTTTAACTCAAGTGTCTTACACAGCTCCAGAAAATTTTCCGTCAACCCCCTGAGCATCAATATGCTTTAGAATGTGATTTGAGGTCGTTACTTCACATGTATCCAATGTTTATTGTCAATTTTTTACAATATCACAATCTCACCAATCTTTAACCTCAGCCTACCACACACACATTTCCTACTGTGGATCCAAAATTGGACTCGGAGATATTTGGAAAGATTCCCTCCCCCACACTACCACTCCCAATTCTACATACAGAAGATGTTGATGAAATTAGGTGCACTGTGATAGAAGAAATCTTAAGCAGCAAATCTAAGTGAAATTTTCCTCACTGCTAGAAAATAAACATTGAACGAGATTAAATTCTCTGGTCGAGATTGCAAATATGAGATTGATATCCTGGAGAGTCATGAAATTACATTCAGGGGTAAGACAGTAATTCCACACTGGATGGGTCTGGCATTGAAATCATCCCATTGCCACAAACACTCCTGATTAAACAAATATATTAAAATCATGTTGCAAATGTTTGACTCGCAGAAGGGAGTGTAGCTAACAATGAAGAAGATTATAAGCAACTTCAGTGGACATAGACAGATTTATTGATTGGGTAGAGAAATGGCAAATTAAATTTAGTCCAGACATACGTGAAGTTATACATTTTGGGAGGAAGAATAAGGAGTGGAGGAGCAAAGGGACTTGGGGATTTGGATACATAAATCGGGAGCACATTTAGTACATAAATCCTTAAAGGTGAGAGGCAAGTGTCCAAAGCTATCAAAGCTATTAGCTATCAAAGAAAACTGAATGGATTCTTAAAGTTTTATAGATACAAAATATAAAAGCAAAGAAGTAATGTGAAACTTATATAAATCATTAGTTAAACGTCAGTGAGAATATTGTGTCCAGTGTTGGTCATCCCACTTTAGGAAAGATGCCAAGGCAATAGAGATTTACTGGGATGATATGGATGAGTGGTTTGGCCTATGAGTGGAGACGAGAGGATGTTTTCCGCTTGAATAAAAAAGGTTAAAGGGGTTGATACCTGATCAATGTCTTTAAAATGAAGAAGGATTTTGATTGTGCGAAGGAAGAAATGATTCACACTGGTCAGTGAGTTAGCAATTAGAGGACCTCAGTTTAAGATAGTTAATAAGGAAGTAAATGGGGAGAGGGGAAGATAATTTGTTTTCAGACACAGAATTGTTAGGATATGGAATGCAGAAGCAGTGGTTGAGGCAAAATCCATATTGACCTTCACGAAGGAACTAGGCAAATACCTTAACAAGATTCAGCTAAAGGGTATTGGGAAAGGGCTTTCTCCTTTGTTGTCAATTTCTATGAGTCTAACATCACTGCAGTGATAACATTCAACTCCAGCCAATATGACAGCATGGTTTAAGAGGCAAAAAAATTACTTCAAAAAGTCTCAAAAATTCCATCCTCCCCTCCCACACACATGAACCCAGACCCAGTGAAAGGCCACATCAGCATTCCTTTCAGAGGATGAAACACACAAAAGAGATGGTTACTGCTGATCAATGTTGCCATGGCAAACATAAATGAATATTGTACAGTACTGCAAACGCCCTTTGATGAGTGCATCAAAGAGTGGATTAAGAGAACCAAGTCAATGATCCAGTAATGCTGATCTCCCATCAGTGTAGATCCATTAGGAGACAGCCACCATCTTAATATCAGAACCCAGACAGTTAGAACTCAGGTCAGGAGGCATCACTTCACATCGAGGGTTGGAATTCTCTGTCCCAGAAAGCTTTGGAGGTGAAATCTATGGGGATCTTTAAGAGATTTAAAAATGAAATAGATAGAGACTTAGGCAGTTGAGGTTAAGGGTTGTGGAGAAATGGCATTCGAATTAAAGGGCGGGGCAAGACCTCAGGCAAGTTTCCTTACTCCACACAGTATGTAGGAACCCAGTTGTTAGTCGATTGGTGGAACATTTTTCCTGGGCAATAATCCCTTAAAAAAAGGGGAATCCATGACTGTTTGTGTATTGCAATTGGCTGCCGCGTTTCGCCCACAAAATACACAGTCACTACACTTTACAGTGTATCCTGTGAAGCACTTTAAGATGTCTCAAAAACGTGATAAGGCGCCGTATCAAATGCAGGGATTATTATTTTTAAAGGTTCTGCCAAGAACTAATAAACTGGTGGAACAGACTCGATGGGCTGAATAATTTCCTCCTGTTCGTGTTTTCCTCTTTTCCTAAGGAACTGTGTTTATTCTCTTCCCACACCCCAATTTTTTTTTTACCTCTGCAGAACGGGAGGGGGAAATCCCAGGAGGCACTGTTCTCCGAGCTGGCTAGACAGGTCAGCACCGCATGGCCCTCCAGGAAGTAGCCCGTGTTGCAGCTGAAACGGATTTTGTCCCCCACGTTGAAGGTTGTCCCCTGTTGCAGTCCATTCTGTAACTTGCCGGGGTTTCCGCAGGTGTGGCTCGGCAACACTGAGAGAGAAAACAAAATGGTTTGGTCACTCGCGAGTGGTCCACAGTCAACATCACTGGGATCAGCGATCAATGGCTGACTCTCAGGGGCAGGGAGGAGATAGGTCCTGAGGGAGGGAGGGAGGAAAGGGGTAAGGGTTTCACTAGGAACTAAAGGTTGATCCACAGACTAGAGAAAGTGACAAATGAGCAATTTCATGACCTTACCCTGTTGTGACACGTTTAATGAACAGCATGTTTACAGGTTACTTTACTGAACCAGGTCAACCAATAGCCAGGCCACAGTACATTATTCAGAGCAAGAAAAACACTGGTAATGGAAAACGCTGGTAGTGGAGTCCTGTAGCTTAGTGGTTTGAGCGTTCGTCCCGCAAGCGAGAGGAGCACTCGATTCCTGGGCAGGGCAAAACCTTAGGCAAGTTTCCTTACTCCTCACGCCTCTGTTTACCTAGCAGTAAGTAGGAACCCAGTTGTTAGTCAATTGGCGGATCTCATTTACTGGGGTAATAATCCCTTAAAAAAATCATAGTTTAGCTCTCAATCCACAACGTTTTGTGGGACGCTGCTGTGCGCGATTGGCTGCGCATTTCGGCCATAAAATATAGTCAATTCACTTTATGGTATATTCTGTGAAGGATATCTGACAAGGATTCTCTGTCACTCTGGGATTAGCCTCAGAGCTGCAGTGTGATTGGCCTCGCTCTGCACAGCACAACACCAGATGGGTGCTGTCACTCCTGTGATCCCGAGTGCCATCTCTGGAAACGTAGTAGAGGCCAGGACACTGGGACTCATTTAAAAAGCCGTTTGTTGCAGTGATGGGCGGACAGGAAGGTGGGCGTTCTGGAGGGATGAGATCAGATGGGCCAAAGGACCTTCTTCATCCAGACCAATCTTGAGATCCAGTTACTGATGTCTCAGCTCTCTGTGGCTGCGTCTGTTACATATACTTCAATCCCTTTCAGTGCAGGAGCAGTGTTTAAGGAGAAATCACAGGTGTTACCAATACACAATCAGCCTCCAATCAAGGCTGTTATGCACAGAAACGTCCAAAGTGTCGGTCTGGATCAGGCTGTAGGATTCTTGCCTCTGGGCCATCGATAAGTATCTCACAAATTTCCCTGTGTAGGTGAGATGCATGGAACTCTCAGTTTGGTTTGGATACTCTGAAGCTTGGTGATGGCTTTCTGCATGTGTCAGAAACCCGGCTGACACTCAAAAATGCCTCTGGGCTAGAAGGTTGTGGTTTCCAGCCTCACATTGGAGACTTATGGTCACAGTCCAAGCTAACGCTTCAAGGCAGTACTGGGTCAGCGATATATAATCGGAAGTGCCGTCTCCCTGATGAGAAGTTATACTGAGCCTGTGCCCGTTTAGGTGGACGTTAAAGATCCCACGGTACAACTCAAAATGAGAAGGGAGTCTCTCTCTCCCAGTGTCATGGCCAACAAATCCCCCAGATAAAATCACTTCAGGACCGTTTGTGGGATGTTGCCGTACGCAAATTGGCTGCTGTGTTTGCCTGAAACATATACAGTCACTGCGTTGGACATGATTTGCTGTTTACACATTTTGAGCCATTTCAAATGTGATAAGTGCAGTATTGAATGCAAGGATTCTTCTCTAAACACAGTCACTCCACTCCACAGGATATCCAGCCTGCTTCACGTCCCCCACCTTGCCCGCCCCACCATTGGGCAGGCGGGCCTTCAGCCACTCTGACCCATCCTCTGGAACTCCATCCCACAGTCCCTCGCCCCCTCCCTTGCCTCCTTCAAGACCCGTCTCAAGATCCTCCTCTTCGACCACGCCTTTGATCACCTTCTTTCCCTCCCTGCCCTCCACCCTATCCCAGTTCAGGTCAGAAACTCTGACTGTCCAGCGCCTTGGGACATGCTCCAACATGAAAGGTGCTATACAAATGTAATTTTGTTGTTGTTGAGAAGGGCTTTGGGATGTCCTCCCAATGTGAAAGGCGCTGAATACAAAAATTATTAACTGAGTTACCATTGGCACGATTGTGTAAAGGTGAACATTAACACCCCTCCTGACGCTTATTAAAATAGCAACTAAAAAGCATCAACCCATTAGAGTCTGGGTTGTAATTCACTCCACCATAAAGGGTGGTAATGAATGCTGATCATGCAGAGGATTATTTTCAGTGAATTGGTTGATGTGATTTATGCACTGCTTTTCACCCTGTTATTTATAGGCTCAGAGTCACTGACCTCTCCCTCCCCCACTAAATCTTTTATTCAGTCATTTGCGGAGGAATTGCACGTTATAATGCAGATGTGCTTTATTGAGCTGTCTATTAGTGAGAGCAATAAATAAAACGTGTTGTAAAAGAAGTCGTGTTAAAATAATCCTTGCATTTGAAGCAGCACTCTGCAGGATCTGCTGTAAACTACAGAGACTGTGTATTTTGTAGGCTAACAGGGCAACTAATTTGCAATATCCCAAAACAGCCATGAAGTGAATGATCCTTTTATTTGGAGGATTATCGTCCAGGACACTGGGAGAAACTTGCCTCTTTTTGAATAGTGGGATCTTTAACATCCACCTGAACAGGTAGAAGGGACCTCGATTTAACATCTCAGCCGAAGGACGGCTAATTCATCGCTCCCAAGAATTGTATTAGGAGTTTCCGCCCCTTCAGCCCCAATATTGGTGAGTGACCTTGCCTCTCCTCCCCCCACCATTCGATCTCTTTCCCCAAATCCCTCCATCTCATCTCCTCCATCTGAACTTTGAAAACTCATCTAAACACCTCCCTCCTTGATTATATTACAGCCCCTTCTCCCGAAACCCCATCTCCCTCCCAAATCAGGCTCCAATGGTGTCTTTGTAAAGCTCTTTGAGATATTCTCCCAATGTGAAAGGCGTTGTACAAGTGAAAATCATTGCTGGTTTCACAATTGAATCCTGTAAACCAGGATGGTCCCAAATCATGCTCTGTGCTCAGTGTGCTGATCCCAGCAATGTTAGTTTATATTTCTTTGCAAAGATAAAAACACATAAAATCACAGTGAGGTTCTCCAACAGTCCCAGAATGACACATTTATGGATGTCTGGTGGGTTTATGGTGTGGATCAGTTTTGACTTTCTCTTCTCTGTTGAGAAGACGTTTAGCTCTGTGTGGCTCTCCTCTACATATCAGACGCTACATATCTCGGTGGCTCTTTACCTTAATGTTCCCATGCCATTTTACGGGTAACAATACCTAAAATTCACAACGATATACAGAAGGTTAGAATATTTTTTTTCCCACTTAAAGTTAGTCAAAAGCTCTTGAAACACAAGCAAGCATTTGATTAGCTTTGTTCATAGCAGTTTCACATTGACTGGAAGTCTTTAGTGTGCGATCAATAATCTCACCCAAACTCTTCTCCTTCACCAACGCTGCTAATGGATGTTCCTCGATTTTATGCACGTTTGCCGTTTCTTGTTCCCGCGCGAATCACCTTGCGAACACCCGGATTAAAATCCATCGCTTTAATTAACCCAGTCATATTAAACTATTTGATTTATCCCCCTTGTGTGAGTCACCTGCTCAAACAACTCGGCATCATCAGCAAATTGAATAAATGTTACAAACTGTGCTCTTCCTGTTATTTTTCAGTCATGTGTTAAAGTAGATGTTAAATTATATTGAAATGCTGTGTGTTTAGGAGGATGAAGTCGAAGAGGAAGTGGAATGAGTTAAATTGAGTGGCACTATTGTTTAGAGTAACTTAACTCTATCAACCTCTTTGCGGCCTCTGCTTCCAGACTGACCCTCCTCTGTCGCACACCAGAGAGCATTTAGTGGTTCCTTTAACAACAACTTGCATCTACGCAGCGCCCCTCATGCAGGGTAGCGTCACAGAGCGCTTGAAGGTGGCAGTGCATGACTCCGAGCCTATGGCCACCTCCCCCAGTCAGGCGCAACCTGAAGATGGGGAAGGAAGGGGCAAGGCAGAGTGACAGAGGAAGAGTGTTCCAGAGTTTTGGGGTGCAATGGCTGAAAGCGCGGCCACAAATGGTGGAATGCAGGGCACGAGGGACGTGCAGGAGGCCGGAGCCAGTTGAGCAGAGGCAGCGGGTTGTGTAACTCACTCTAGCAATGCAGCTGGCCCCCAGCACTGACCTGGAGCATCAACCTAGACTGTGAGCTCAATAGCTGTGACATGGGGCAAATGATGCATTAGATCTCCAGCCGTTTACCAGAGCCGGAGGAAATAGAAGTGAAAAGCTTAATGTATGAAGTTAATGATTGCCCCCCTGACAGTAAGCCATTGTTTACAGACCTGACACATTCTGTTCTTTATAATTTCCCACACGTTTTGCCCACGTTTTTGTTTAAAGGAAACGACACATTGAAAATGAATAAGGATCACGGGTTACACAAAGCACCCTGAGCTGCAGCATTTCATAACCTTGGGCGTATCACAAAAGAAACTCACATAAACCCTCTCATCTGACCTTGCTCTCACGATAATTGCACAGTGCATCGATCTACATCTCACTTAACACCCGATTTGAAGCAGGTACTTGTGAGTGTAACTATCACAGACCATTTCTGTCGCGCAGTTAGTTGTTATCTGGTGTGAAGCCCTCTCATTTATTTGCCCACTGCAGTCTATGTGAAGGGGATTGGTTAATTCACAATGTATCTGCCATACAACAACAACAACAAGATTCCATTTATAGAGCGCCTTTCACGTCGGGAGGACGTCCCAAGGCGCTGGACAGTTGGGTCAGGACCCGAGCAAGAGGGAAATGGTCAGGGTGAGGGGAGGGAAGGGAGGGAGCGAGGAGGGGGTAGAGAATCGAGAGGGGAGCTGAAGGCACGGTCAAAGAGAAAGGTCTTGAGACCGGCCTTGAAGGAGGAAAGGGAGGAGGCGGCGAAGGCACTGGGGAATAGAGTTCCAGAGCCTGAGGGCTGAGAGGCTGAAGGCTCGGCCACCGATGGTAGGGCGGTTGGGGCGGGGGATGTGGAGCAGACCGGAGCCAGAGGA